TATGCTGAAGCAGAGGTCGCTTCAACCTTATAACTGTTGATGACTGTTATGGCAATTGGTTCCTCAGGGAAGGGCAATGGATTTTTAAAGGGATAGATGACCAAAATTAGCTTTAGTATGTATAATGGGACATGAACCCAATATATCTATTCAGACCAGGTCTCTCCATAGTTTTTAGTTTGGTAATGAGTTGTAATTCAGCAACTTCTCTTTCAAGTGTATTTTCACTGGCAGAGGAAGAGGGGGGCGGGGGAGTGACCGCCCCCGGCACCATGATCCCGGTGGGGTGCCATTGTGGCCCTCCCCCCACTGTGCTGAGCGCCACTCCCCCAGGACACATGCCATGCCCCTGTGGGCGGCATGCCATGACCCCAGTACGCGCATCACACTCCCAGGGTGTGCGCCACGCCCCTACAGGCAGCACACCATGCCCCCGGGACACAAGCCACATCCCCCAGGATGCACGCCAGTCATGCCCCCGTCTGCTCTCCGCCACTAAAGACAGCCACTCTAAGATCCTGCACAGAATGTCCTGGGAGATTGAAGTGTTCTCCTATTGGTTTCTCTGTTTTATTATTCCTGGTGTCAGATTTATGCCCATTTATCCTTTGGCGTAAAGTTTGTCCTGTTTGTCCAATATAGAGAGCTGAAGGGCACTGTTGGCATTTGATAGCATATATAATGTTGGAAGATGAACAATTAAATAGGCCTGAAATGGTATGTTTGATGTTATTGGGGCCAATAATGATGCTGTCCGGGTGTATGTGGCAGCAAAGTTGGCATCTAGATTCATTGCAGGCTCTTGTGCCAGTGTCCATGTTAGGTCTGGTTGTTGTATTATTGTGTGTGAGGAGCTGTTTAAGATTAGGTGGCTTTCTGCAGGCAATGAAAGGTTTTCCTTCCAGAGCTTTGGAAAAAGAGCTGTCATTAATCTAAGAGACGTTGTAAATCTCTGATGATGCGTTGAACTGTTTTAACTTGAGAGCTGTATGTGATTACTAGTGGTGTTCTGTTGTTTTCTCTTTTGGGTCTATCTTGCAGCAAGGTTTTAACACTGAGTCCATAAGTGACTGTGGAGGCCACTTCTGGATCCACACATCCTTCCACAGTGGGGACATTGGCTTCTGATCACAGTGTGGATTTGCCAAACGTGCCTTCCTCTTAGCACGTTTCTCCCTTGCGTCCTGAGTTCGAGTGTCTTCAAAGCCCATGACACCTTTGGTAAAGGCTGTTTTCCAATTGGAGCGCTCACAGGCAAGTGTTTCCCAATTGTTGGTGTTTATACTACATTTTTAAAAATTTGCCTTGAGACAGTCTTTAAACTTCTTTTGTTGACCACCAGCATTACGCTTTCCATTTTTAAGTTCGGAATACAGTAGTTGCTTTGGAAGATGATAATCAGGCATCTGCACAACATGACCAGTTCAGTGAAGTTGATGTTGAAGAATCACTGCTTCAACACTGGTGATCTTTGCTTCTTCCAGTACATTGGTATTAGTTCACCTGTCTTCCCAAGTGATGTGTAAAAATTTTCAGAGACACCGTTGATGTAATCTTTCAAGGAGTTGGAGATGGCGTTTATAAGTGGTCCATGTTTCACAAGCATACAGTAAGGTTAGTAGTACAATAGCTTTGTAAACAAGCATTTTGGTTTCCCTGTGAATGTTCCGGTTCTCAAATACTCTGCATTTCAATTGGGAGAAAGCCGCACTAGCAGAGCTCAGGTGATGCTGGATTTTGGCACCAATGTTGGCCCTTGTGGAAAGACAACTCCCCAGGTAGGAGAAGTGATCAACATTTTCCAACGTTACACCATTGAGTTGGATTTGTGGCGCTGCAGAGGGGTTATTTTGTACTTGTTGGTGCAGCACTTTGGTTTTTTGGATCTTGAGCGATAGGCCAAGCTTGGCCTATGGTCAGGGATGGTTAGGTGTTCAGCAACATCTAAAGAATCACAGATTAGCCACCTCTGTGTTATAAAGTGTGATGCACGTTTATAGCAAGGGCAGGTATAACTCACTGCTAGCAATGGTGCACTCAATAACCAACAGAGATCTGTGACAATCACATTATGCTGCACATAGCACACAGCAATCTCAACAGTAATAGCTGTGAGAGAGCTAGGGGAAAGAATCTGCATTTTCGCAGTGACAAAATACTCCACTTTCAGCACTACAAAAATGCGATATTTCTGCAACAGAAGCACTACGTTGAGAAAACAATGCCTGTAGCCTTAGCAACAAGCGGATGTGCATTATTACCAGAAAGCAGCAACAAACCACTGTTTAGTGCTTTCAGTTCATTCTACTACCCAAAATTAGACAAATTCATAGAAGGCAAGGCTATCAATGGCTACTAGCCATGATGACTATGTGCTATCTCCCCAACCAGAGGCATTTTGCATCTGAATACAAGTGGCTGGGAATTGCGAGTAGCTGCTGCACACTTGTTCAGCTAGCAGATTTTACTTTTTTATATATGTACATTTTTATTGGGGTTTTTAACATATAATTTCCAACAGTCATATAACTTCTTATACAATGTTTTAGACTTCCATCAACACCTTTGATGATTTTTCATTATCACTTATTCTGCATTTCTTAATTTCTTTATTACTCTTAATTGTCATTAACTAATAATTCTCCTCATAGTCTTTCTTGCAATATTTCAGATAATCCTCCTTACAAAACTTCTTGCAGTCCTACTAGCGTAATCTGTTCATTACAATTACTTTTTAAATAGTTCATATATTTACTCCAGTCTTCTAAAAATCTTTGATCCCGCAGGTTTTGAATCCTTCCTGTTAATTTATCTAGTTCTGCATAGTCCATCAATTTCATCCTCCATTCTTCTTTCGTCGGTAATTCTTCTTGCTTCCATTTTTGTGTAATAATATTCTTGCTGCCATCATTGCGTATAAAAACAACTTACAATCCTGTCTATTAATATCATCTCCTACAATGCCAAGTAAAAATGCTTCTGGTTTCTTAATAGATGTATATTTCAACATCTTTTTCATTTCATTATATATCATTTCCCAGAAGTTTTTCACTTTTTTACATTCCCACCACATGTGATAAAAAGTTCCTTCCTTTTCTTTACATTTCCAACATTTGTTACTTGTTTTATACATTTTAGCTAATTTCACAGGTGTAATATACCACCTATACATCATTTTCATCACATTTTCTTTCAAAGCATTGCATGCAGTAAATTTTAATCCTTCTTTCCACAGTTTTTCCCAGTCTTTTAACTGTATATTATACCCAAAATCTTTGGCCCAGTGTATCATCACCGACTTTACCTCCTCATCTTTCAAATGCCATTCAAGCAGCAATTTATACATTTTAGACAAAATTTTATACTTATTATTCAATACCTCTATTTCAAATTTTGATTTATTATCATCAAATCCTTTTTCTCTCAAATCCTGTTTAAACATTTCATTGACTTGGCGATAGTGCAGCCAGTCATTCACATATCCTTTAACCTCTTCATAAGATTTCATTTTCCATTTACTTCCTTTTGTATTAATTTTTCATATGTAACCTAATTTTTACTCATATTCATCTTTTTCACACTCATCGCTTCTAAATGGAGACAGCCACTGTGGTGTTTTATGTTCTAACAGGTTTTTATACCTATCCCATATTTCAAATAGAGATCTTCGGAATATATGGTTTCCAACTCCTTTATGGACTTTTGTCTTATTATACCATAAATATGCGTGCCAACCAAATCTATTATCATAACCTTCCAAGTCCAACAAATCTGTATTTTTTAACAACATCCATTCCTTTAACCAACAAAGTCAAGATGCTTCATAGTACAGTTTCAAGTCTGGCAGGGCGAAGCCCCCTCTTTGTGATGGCCTGGGATTCCGAGTCTGAGAGCAATCCAGAGGAATCCCAGCTGGCACAGGAGTCCCCGCCTCCAGGGCCGGCTGAACTGGGGCAAGGCCTAGATGCTGAGGAAACTCAAGAGCAGGCACCAGGTGAAATCATTCAGGCCCCAGAGGTGCTGGAAGACTCAGTGGCTACAGGTGAGCCTCCCCCGGGGCCCAGTAACCCTTCGGCCTCTCCTGATCTGCAGAGGCTTAGGGCAGAGAGGCGAAGGGAACTGGTGTCTCCCAGGAGGAGTGCTCGCCTTAAGGCCAAGAGAGGCGGGGCTTCTGGGGGCCGGGACCGCCCCCGGCCTTAGAAGAAGATAAAGGTCAGGCAGCCCGGTCCCAGGTTGCAGGAGCAACGTCGTTGTGAAGTATCTGCTTTACCCAGTCCTTGTTCGGCACTCCCAGTGTGCCTGTTCCTCGCCCGGCTTCCTGTTTCTGACTCTCCGGTGTTCCTGTTCCTCGCCTGGATTCCTGCTTCTGCCTTACCAGTGTTCCTGTTCCTCGCCTGGACTCCTGCTTCTGCCCTACCAGTGTTCCTGTTCCTCGCCTGGCTTCCTGCTTCTGCCCTACCATCGTTCCTGCTACCCCGCCCGGCTCCCTGTCTCGGACCTCGCGTCTCATCTAGTGATCATCTACCCTGCTAGAGACTCTGGACTGATCTTGGCCTACGGTAATAGTACCTTATCCCCCCTGGGACCAGCACACTCTTTCTTTAACATCTGTTAATAACTTATATTGAATTCTTGGTTTCTTCCCCTGCCCAGCTATCAGGTTTTCCAAAGGCATCTGGTTACACACTGTGGGCTCGTCCACACTTCCTTTTGTGCCATGTTTCTAAGTGCAAGTCCAGGCTTTCCAGATCAGCATCCAAGCAGGTCTTTTTTTGATCCCAGCACTTTCCTCAGGAAAACCCGCGTTTTACCGCGGAAATGCAGCAAGCGGCAAAAGCTGGAAAGGCCAGACCTGTGCCTGAAAAGCATGGAGCAGTGTGGATGAGCCCTGTGAGATGCTGGACTAGACAGGCCATTGGCCTGATTCAGCAGGGCTATACTTATGTTCTTATTGCTCATGCTTGGCGGACAAGTCAACACATGCCTGTTGTCACACATACCCCTTTGCCCAGGTCCTCCAAGATCACTTGCTCGATCTCCTGCCTGCTGCTCTGAGGGGCTTGGCTGTGCAGCACCTTGAGTGTGCGAGTGTATTCCTCAGGCAAGAGATAGTCGAGAGCCCCCAGGTGCTGCCCCACTTTGATGAAGGTGCCCCGGTTGGCACAACACAGGTCTCGGAGACGTTCTGCAGAGCGCAGATGCACCTGCAGAGGGGGAGAGAGAGGGAGGGAGGTTGAAAGACTCATAAACATCCAAAACTTTGACTGAATCCCTTTCTCCAAACCATACGCTACCTATTTCCGTATCTTCTCTTCCCAGGCTGCCATTTTGCTTGTTCTGGGTGTGTGTTACCATAAGGCTCCCTGTGTTTACCATTAGGACAGGACGCATCTTTGGGGAAAACAGACACTGTTTTCTCTGGGATGCCCCTACAATTGCAGACCAGGGCTTGATGTGGGCCAGTACCTACAAGCATATGCAGACTGCAGGCATTAGAAGTTCTACATGACCACATCTAGTCTCCTCAATAAGCACCATGCAGACAGTGCTTTAAGGTAGGGTGGGGAACCTCAGGTCCAGGGTCTGAATGCAGCTCTCTGGGCCTGTCTATCCCTTGAGACTTCCCCAGGCCACACACCCTCCCCTTTCAGTGGCCTTGCTTCAACCCCCCCCAAAATGTTTTTGCCTTACTGGAATACATCCTTGAACCCTGATGGGGAACAGAGGGGAATTGTGTGTGTGTGTAGAAACTAGCCTACTGTACAAAGGAAAAATAATTGATTTGGGATAGTTCAGTCAGTAGAGCATGAGACTCTTAATCTCAAGGTCGTGGGTTCAAGCCCCATGTTGGGCAAAAGATTCCTTGGACTAGAAGACCCTCGTGGTCCCTTCCAACTCTACAATTCTATGATGCCCCCAATTTGCTCCACCTACTTTTGACTCTGACTCCATCCACCACTGTCATGTGCTCCCCAGAAGGGCATGTGGACCTCAGGTTGAAGAAAGTTGTGTACCTCCGCCTTAAAGAGGTACACAAACATGCAGGCAAGATATTTGGATTCCAGTTGCTCGAAAGCCTGGTGCTCACCACTTCCTTACACTGGGCTGCTGAAAGCAGAAGCTGCCATTGCACCTGCCTCTGCAAACCCCCTTGCAGCAGTTGGGCAACGGTGTGCAAAAAGCCAGCTTTCAGCTCAAAAATAATACTCTTGCAAGGAGCAGGAAGCTTCTGCCATGGAAATGTGTGGTCATGAGTACAGTAGCTCTAAGCAGCATGCCTTAGAGAAGGGGGCATTTTTACATTGCTCCCTTGATGTGGTTGTTTGGAGTGACAGAGATATCAAGAGAGAAAGAAAGCTTGGAATGGATTGGAAATGAAAGGGTGCAGACAGGGCGGGGGGGGAGGGAAGAGGGAGGGGGAGAGAGGGATGGAGCCAGAGCAGCTGGGCAGTTTGTCACAGTACAGGGAGTTCAGCCCATTACAGGGAAACAGCTTTTATGCAGCTTGGATAATTGTCCTTGACACTGTCTCCAACAGAGGAGAAAGCGGGGGGAGGGGGATCAGCAGCAAAAGCAGGGAGGGGCTATCTATAGCTGTCCGGCATTAACTTGCATTTCAGAAGGGCAGGCTGGGCACACTTGAGGGGGGAAATGCCACTTCAACCCAGATATTGCTCCTGGTGAGAAAGCAGCAACAACAACAACAAAATTTCAGGAACTGTACAGAGTGTCAGGGCTACTGGGAACACCCACCCAACTCCACACACAAAGCAAACACGCAATTAGGCCCGCATGGGAGCGCACCAGATTGAGCCAAGGGAGCAAAAGAGACATCTGACCCCAGTGTTGATTCACCTCCTAAAATGTAAGCTCAAAATCTTTTTTAACTGCCAGTTACTAGCAAGCATCCCGATTGCCTTGCAGCCAAAGTGTCACTGCAAAAGAAGCATGGTTCTACCATATGGTGATTCTGCCTCAATCCAGAGACGAGGAAGTTCATGCGAGCAAGTCCCACTGGGATTCCTGCGGATTTATAACACTGGTCACCAACATGGAAATAGGTACTGGAAGAGCATTTTCCCTCCTGTAAATGTTCGGGTTGAAGAACAGGCCACAGAACAGATGGCAGCCATGTCAACAAAAGACGTTGTAAGGCCAGGTACTCCAGCCAAACAAGGAAAAGAAGATTTTGAACGCCATTTGCAGTTCATTGTGTGTACTTGACGTGGTAATTAACAATCCCTGGCCATGACGCTGCAAAATACAATTCAAGCTACTAGCTTTTTTTCAACCTGTCCAGCAAGTAATGCAATAAATAACTTGAGGGGGAAAGTTTGTTTCTTGCCATTTCCAAAGCATTTACTGAACAGATAATATTTAATGCTACTTAACAAAACAAACATCCTACACATTATTCAATGATTGCATTGTGTACTTTATTATTATTATTATTATTATTATTATTATTATTATTAATTATGATTATTATTATCATCATCATCATCATCATGATGACTGAATTAAAGAGAGACTAAAAGTCAAGCTCAACAAGATGCCATTCACACAATTATCTATTGCATGGCTTTTAAAACAGTAAAGAGTGGTCTCAGCAGGGGCCCCAATCCAGACTGAAACCCTGGCAGGGGTAGGGTGAGGGTGAAAGAGCTCTAACCTTTCTGCCCCTCGTGGTGGTCCCAATTCAAATCAAGGCCTGCTTCACCTCTTCTTTGCAATGGAGGGAATTTATATTATGTACAGTGGAGAGCAAAGGTTTAAAGCCCCCTTATCGACTATCACCCCTACCAGATTCCCAAATGGACCACCATACCTCATTTTTTTTAAGGCATTAATGTAATTTCTAATTGTGTGTATGGCATCTTGTCTACTTCAACCCTAAGGCTGCGTTCTAACTAGAGTTTCCTTGTACAACTTATGCATTGGTGTAGTCCTAAACTGGAAATACAGAGAATGGTATTTCAAGAGTGACGTAAGTTAAGGAACCCTCAATGAATCTTCTAAGAAAAGCAGGATAAAGGTGGCAATTGGCTTAGGAATTTCTAGCTGTTTTCAACTGTGCCAACTCTGCTGATCCTACTGATTCCCAGCCTGTTGGTTATACTAGGAACATTCAGCAATGAGATTAACACAGTTCTATCCTATGTAGCATGCAAGTGTCTGGCGCACTGAAATGACACTCAAACAATTCATTCTGAAAATGCCCTGGAAGTTGCTCCTATTGCTCAAGTTACTTCTAGCTTCTGTAATGAATCATATTAACGAAAAGACAGAAAAAACCAGCCATGCCTTGTTTAGAGAAACCAATATGAAGGGATGATAGCCTTGAAATATCTGAAAGGATGGGGATAAAGAAGATGAACTGTTCACTCCAGCAACTTAAAAAATATAATAGAGTTTAAGCTGCAAGAGCACAGAACTGCCTAGGGTAAATTGACCAATTAAAATGTAACAAGTCATCAGATTGGGATGGATCTGAAACAACACAATCTAAGATGCCAAGGGACTCAGACTAGGGACTCTGGCAGTAGAGTTAAAACACCATCAAGGGCAGCTCACAGTCTGAAAGAATTATTTGCTTGATCTCTGCTGAGCAGCAAAACCACCTAGATAATGGACACAGAGGACGCTACTGTTCATCAGCCCAGTCAAACCAAGTGGTAATAATAATAATAATAATAATAATAATAATAATAATAATAATAATAATAATTTCTTATTTATACCCTGCCCATCTGGCTGGGTTTCCCCAGCCACTCTGGGCGGCTCCCAACAGAATACAGTCATACCTCGGGTTGCGAACGCTGTTACTTCCAGGTTTCGGCACTCGTGCATGCACAGAAGCACTGAATCATGTCACACACGTGCGCAGACGTGGTGCTGCGGGTTGCGAACGCACCTCCCACATGGATCACGTTCACAACCCGAGGTTCCACTGTATTAAAAACCTGATAAAACAGCAAGCATTAAAAACTTCCCTAAACGGGGCTGCCTTCAGATGTCTTGTAAAAGTAAGATAGTTATTTATTTCCTTGACATCTGATGGGAGGGCGTTCTACAGGGTGGGTGTCACTACTGAGAAGGCCCTCTGCCTGGTTCCCTGTAACCTCGCTTCTCACAGAGAGGGAACCGCCAGAAGGCCCTAGACCTCAGTGTCCGGGCTCAATGATGGGGGTGGAGATGCTCCTTCAGGTATACTGGGCCGAAGCCATTTAGGGCTTTAAAGGTCAGCACCAACACTTTGAATTGTGCTCAGAAATGTACTGGGAGCCAATGTCTTTCAGGACTGGTGTTATATGGTCTCAGTGGCCACTCCCAGTCACCAGTCTATTGAACGTTGTATTTCTGTCCACAAAGTTACACTGTAAGTTGATGGTTGATCTGTTGTTGAACCTAGGTCTCCTGACCCTGAACTGTTTTATGCTTTACTTTGGTTTCCTCTTTTTCCTTTTTTCCTTTTATCCTTTAGCTACAGAACCATCCCAGGGCTCTCAGTTACTTCAGCAGCAAATAAACAAGCCGAAACAATAATTAATGACAGAGCTATAAATCACCTCACTGAATATGATATGTGACAAACCAGCATGGCTTTTGCCAAAGGAAAGGGAAAAACCATTTCCTCTCCAATTTATTAGTTTGTGAACATTCTAGCAAAGAACAGAGACAGTGAGAAAAGAGAAGATTTTTTAAGCAGAATATTTTCAAGTGGACTTTGGTAAAATCCCCTACACACAGTTAGAAAATAATCAATGCATGAGATGCAAAAACATGGCCAATGATCAGACACTGCCTAAACTTTTCCAGTATTGTGGAACCTCGGTTGTCGAACGTAATCTGTTCCGGAAGACCATTTGACTTCTGAAACATTTGACAACCCAGGCGCGAAGCGAGAATCTCAATTTCAATGGTGAAAATCGAAAAACACGCAGGGGAAGCCGTTCAACTTCCAGGTTTTTGGCATTTGGGTTCTGAAACATTCATCAACGGAGACATTTGAGAACCAAGCTTCCACTGTACTTGACTTCCAAGTTGAATTCCACTCAAATGCCAAATAGTTATTACTAGAACTGGAGTGAATTGAGATGTCATCAGCATGATGAGAAAGAAATGGAAAGAACTCTGCTTATCACCCCAAGGGTGATAAATTATTGGGGGGCCCAGGTAAGACCTGCCCTGCATAATCAATCAT